CTAGGTAGGGAGTCGACGATCTAGGTGATTAAAGGATTATGACAAAATCACTGCTCAGGGATGAATTACCGTACATCTATACATTGTTTTGAATAAACCACATGACACACAAAATTTCGCTGGCCCATCGAAAAGTGTCGCATAACACCATCATAGAAGGACAACCTAAGCCGACCAGAGAAACCTAGAGAACCGAAAGCAGGGAAACAAGCAACAACTTCCTGTTTTTAAGCGAGGCCTCTGGACAAGCTAGTTTTGTAGGAAAACGCATTAATAGAGGCGTTGCGCTAGGTGGTCGTTTTCTAGCAAATTCATTTAGCATTTTTGTGCGAAAACTATAGCGCAACTCGTTATCACCTATTCCCTCTACCTAATCTCGCAGTAAGTGTGCTGGGGCATGATCACGCGTTTTTCTTCCTTAAAACCTGCAAAATCCGGCACATCATTAGGAATTAGCCCAGAGCATGGATTACTGCTAGTATGACCCCTTTAAAGGTCGCGTTCCATCACATATCGTATCGTAGATCGAAGTAACAGTATTTCGCTCAAGAACAAAGTTCCGAAACACGGTTCCGCACATTCCACACGCAACAAAGAATGATTCTAGTGTGCGGGGCCGCCAGTCCTAGGCTTGCGCACGTCTCGTCAAACATGGACTCTCTGTGTTTTTCACCCAAAAGCACCCCGAGGCCCGACAAATCCGTCGCCTTTTCCCCCCTGGATCGACGAGACCGAAATGTTTGCCTCGGGAGCACCCAAAAAGACCAACAACAGTCACTTGGGTGCTTTGGCTGACTCATTAGAAAACCCGAGAATTTTAGCTGACAGCGACCAGGTAATGGGAGTTTTGGCGCGTTTCGCAAGCAAGAGCTTTGAGCGGGAGTCTGAGGTCTGAGGAGTGATCTTGAAATCGCATTCCGGAAACAGGTGGCTAGGAGGAGCTTGGGGGTCAAGGTTTGGATCGGTTTTTTAGGAGATTGCAGGAGATTTTTGCAGGGCTAGCTGATTAACGAGGAAATTTTCTCGGGGTTTACAAGCCTAAAATTAATTCTTTTTGGGTTGCAAATTCAAAAAATATCGAAAACGATTTGGAAAAACTTGGAAAAGCCAAAATCTCACGAATTTTATAGAAGATTCGGGTAAAAATTTCGTAGTTTTACAATTATTCGAGCTAGATGAATTCTTTCTGATAGTTTAGAAAATCGTACATTTACAAAACAATAGTTACATGGATACGGATACGCGCGGAAGACCGGAAGGGAACGGGACAGTTTGTAAATTCTAGCAATCAAAATTATTCGGCAAGCTGTATACAAAACTATTTATAAAATATTTCGAAAAGAAACTTCAAAACTATTTAACTTAAGGAAATTCCTAAACGTCACCCTCAAAATCAGGTTAAACAAGCTTTTCGCGAGCGTTTGTTAGTGGAGAATCCTTCGGAAAGCACGGCTGATGGATGGATTATCGAAAATTCTTGCGACTACCAGCTCCCGGCTGCTCTATCAGGAGCAGTCCTGAGGCTAGCTGAGTGAGGAGGACGAGGTGGAGGAGGAGCTGGTTCTTCTTGCCCTCCTCTTTCCCGTCTCCACCCTCGCATTCCCACCAGATTTGCATTGACCGCGGCGGCGGGGGATGTCCAGACGCAGACGCTCTTTTCGGGCCTCGCTCAAAATAGCTTGATTTTTGGGGCTTGAGGCAGATGGAATCTTGGAAGTGAAGAACGAGGAAGTTTTAGAAGCAAAAAGTTGTGAAATCGTCCCCCAAAGATTGATTTTGTTGAAAAGCGGACCACAGGTATTCAACTTCAAACCGTACCCTTGAATCTAAATGCCAAAAAAAATCGTGATTTGCACAATACAATTTTTCGTTTCCATTTTCAATTTTTGGGTCATAAAGCAAAAAAAATCTTTTTCCTGTTTCAGGCTTTTAAAGTTTTTGCGCGAGAGAGGCAGATACAGTGCGAGAGATATCGAGAGAGCGAGCGAGAAATATAAATTACCAGAAAAGATACAAAATTCTTACCGGGATTAGCTAGGCAAAACCTCATAGGAAAAAGGCGCGCTGCTTTAGCCTATTTTTTTAAAATAGCAGACAATTTGAGGCAAAAAAGTCTTCAGCCCAAAACCTTCTAGATCGCCTGAAGAAAACGTTCCCAGTGTGATATCAAATCTATTCCTGTTTATTTGCATACTTTTTGTGACAAAAAAACTTGTCTGGTCCTTGTATCAGACCCACGACTATTGTGAACCATTTGTAAGGCTGAACCCCACGTCTTTTTATGGCGCAAAATCAACAACGGTTCGTGAGTCAGCCATGCGATCGGAGCCATTATAACAAAGGAACGAATGCGACAACCTGATAACCAAAATAAACAAGATATAAAGCAACAAAGGCTGTTACAAAACTCTTCTTTATAAAAACGGAAAGATAAAAATTAACCAAAAACCAGGGTTGAAAAGCCGCTTCGCGACTTTTCAACCCTGGCCTCTCTGCGTGGCCCTTTGATACACGGGCACTTTGCATATAATAATTTGCATTAATATTACGAATTACGTTAGCGATAGGCACACCACAGGAATGACTTGAGCAACCGACTCGGAACCCCCGAAAGCCCAGAATGAGCCGAATTAATCCTCGTATGCAAATTTATTTATTTCCATATGTTTTAAAAACGTTAAAATAAGGTACTAAACGGCATTTTTATAAAAATCTGATAAGCGTGCAGTAATCTACGCCCTCGATTACCCCTTACTACCTTACTTTCGGACCATAAAATCCTTTCCCCTTCGAGTTATGACTGGAACCCGGGTTTTTATGCAAAGTGTCCACACACACACAGAAACTATTTTTTTTTATATATAGTAGGATAGTACGATCTGTGATTAAAAAAAAAATTAAGATGTACTGCATGACCATTTTTGGGAAGTCTATGAAAACCAAAATAAACAAGGTTGATAGCAACGAAAAAATCGTAGCCAAAAATGGTGACCTTTTCGACGAAGGGCCTTTCCTAGCGGGGAACGTGTGTGAGTGGCAGCCCTTCAAAATGCCCTCAGGGCACGCCGGAAGTTCAGAAAAATGGGTGGTGCTTTTGAAGGATGGGGAGGAGGACATCGATCCCCAGACCACCCACCCCAGCGGGGTCAACAACAAAACAAAGGAAAGCCAATAAATTTTATGAGCCGGAGCTGTCGTCCTCAAAACTCGTCTTATTTTTCAAATCGGAACGTTACGGAATTGCAAATGGCGCAGTTTTAGGGATCGGAGAATGGGAAATCGCAAATTGCTGAACGTCCAATACGGTGGCTTTTCAGGTGGGAAAATGCCTAGAGCATCTATTTTTTCAAATCTAAAAATTTGGAGGTTTCTAAGTGAGCTCAAGAGTTGCTTGAAAGGCTAAGATAGAGTCGAAAGGTCCTCGAAAGTCGTGGAAACATATCGATAAATCGAAATAGGCCTGTACCTCAAAATATCTGGATTTTAGAAAGACTTCTTTAACACGCCATTTTGCCGGTTTCACAAACGAGCATGTTCCCGATTTTTTTAAACAAAATGTTTGATTTAACGAGCTGGGATTATTTTCCACCTCCAAAGAATTCGAAAGTTGGGTTGTTCGAACACTTGGTCTGGGGCTCTTCCCGCCACGCAACCCACCACTTGCAAAAATCATCTCACGACCCCCGCAGTTTTTCCTGGCCTTGTCGACCCGTCCAGACATGAGTTGGATGTGTCTATCAGCACAGATCAGGGAAAGCGTTTCGAAAAAACAAGAGAAAAATTTGGTGCTCATCGCCCCCACATTTGGATTGATGGCCCCATCCCGAGCGAGATCCGCGCGGCTATCGACCGGGCGTGCCGCGCACTACCGCAACCAGTTAATTTTTAACGGTTACTCCAAGTTTGTCTCGATATGCCGGAGGAGGTGGTACGTTTTAAGCCATTATTTTTCGCTTCAGTCCATAAAAATAGCTATACTTCCCGGAGCTACAAACGATTGACGAAAGAATTAAAATTTGCGAGATTTTCCCACGTTTCCGGAAGCATTTTCGGTAGTAATCTTAAAGAAGCGTGGCGCTGCTTGGAAGTTTTTAATAGGTTATAATAGTTTTTAATTTTAAAGATTCCAATAAAGGAATTTTGCTTACCTGGCAAAATCAATTAATATCGTGTGTTTTTAGACCGCCGCCGAGCCAAAGAAACCAGCTTTATTTTCGATACATTCTCAAAGATTACGGGTATGCATTCTGATGATGCTCTCCGGAGCTATTGCTCAATGTATGAGGCTGAATTTGAGCATGGGACTGCCATGTATGGTAAGTTAAACCGAGAAATTGATTACTGTTGTTCCAAGACAACGTTTTATGCGATAGCTTTTCACCACTTTCGCTAAATAATTGGGTGTTTTTTTCAGATCAACGCCACTCTATCACATGAGCTTTACAACACTACCTTAAAAGAGGAGAATACGGTATGCTATCCGCGAAAATCATAAGGTTTTCCGCTCCTTAAGGGTACACTCGACTGGAGCCCCCAGCAAAAATCAGCCATCCTGTCGGCTTCTTCCTGGGGATCGCTGATTGCCACCTTATTGGCCGGCTATGTTTCAGATAAATTTCAGCCGAAAATTGTCATTACATGTAAGTAAAGCGGCTGCCAGTCATTACTTCGAAAGTCATTACTTCGAAAAGTCATTTCTTCGAAAAGTCCTTACTTCCGAAAGTCATTACTTCGAGACATCATGACTTCGAAAAGTCATTACTTCGAAAAGTCATTTCTTCGAAAAGTCATTACTTCGAAAAGTCATTTCTTCGAAAAGTCATTACTTCGAAAAGTCATTTCTTCGAAAAGTCATTACTTCGAAACGTCATAACTTCGAAAAACATGCATAGCACGTACGCTAATTGACACCTTTCTGCCTCTATTGGTCCGTTTATTCGATCGAGTTTTTTATACGTCGCATGAAAAAAATCGGCAAATTTTTACTTTACCCCCAGGTTTTTCGATGTTTTAGTTGGTTAGTACGAACATTTTCTGATGTCACTTCAGAGAGCACCAAATAATACATGGACATTTTTAGGCAAACATCGTGATGCTTCAGTGATTGAATGCACGGATCATTATAACCAAATAATAACTCGTGGAGATGGGGTAACTAACAATCCTAATACAGACCGAAACTCTACACAGTAATAGCCTTAATAGAATAGGCATATGGTACCTACGCAATGGTATTATCGTCAGTGTCATGAATTTCGTGATATGAACATTCCAAATTAGCATATTTTTCGAAGTAATGACGTTTCAAATTAATGACGTTTCGAAGAAATGACTTTTCGAAGTAATGACTTTTCTAAGTAATGACTTTTCGAAGAAATGACTTTTCGAAGAAATGACTTTTCGAAGTAATGACTTTCGAAGAAAGGACTTTTCGAAGTAATGACTTTTCGAAGTAATGACTTTCGAAGAAGGACTTTTCAGTAATGACTTTTCGAAGTAATGACTTTCGAAGTAATGACTTTTCGAAGTAATGACTTTTCGAAGTAATGACTTTCGAAGTAATGATTTTCGAAGTAATGACTTTTCGAAGTAATGACTTTCGAAGAAATGACTTTTCGAAGTAATGACTTTTCGAAGTAATGACGTTTCGAAGTAATGACTTTTCTAAGTAATGACTTTCGAAGTAATGACTTTTCGAAGTAATGACTTTTCGAAGTAATGACTTTCGAAGAAATGACTTTTCGAGTAATGACTTTCGAAGTAATGACGTTTCGAAGTAATGACTTTTCGAAGTAATGACTTTCGAAGTAATGATTTTCGAAGTAATGACTTTTCGAAGTAATGACTTTCGAAGAAATGACTTTTCGAAGTAATGACTTTTCGAAGTAATGACGTTTCGAAGTAATGACTTTTCTAAGTAATGACTTTCGAAGTAATGATTTTCGAAGTAATGACTTTTCGAAGTAATGACTTTTCGAAGTAATGACTTTCGAAGAAATGACTTTTCGAAGTAATGACTTTTCGAAGTAATGACGTTTCGAAGTAATGACGTTTCGAAGTAATGACGTTTCGAAGTAATGACTTTCGAAGTAATGACTTTCGAAGAAAGGACTTTTCGAAGTAATGACTTTTCGAAGTAATGACGTTTCGAAGTAATGACTTTCGAAGTAATGATTTTCGAGGTAATGACGTTCACCCAAATTTTCTTTATTATACTACTTATATAGTAATACTACGAAGCATACTTTATTGATAGCTATTCATGGTTTTTAAATTCTCG